GTGTGCATCGCTTGCAACTGACAATGACACTTTGCGATTTGCTTAGCGCTGTTCGCATGATGGCTGACCGATTCGTGCTCTATCTTTTGCCTCCTGCTCCTGGCCAAGTCTCTCTCCTTCTTGGCATTCAAGACCATTTCTTTGAGCCTTTTCGCTTCGGCAGAGAAAGCCTCCAAGCGATCCTCGTCGGGCGAGGATTTCGACGGGCTCGGCTTCTTGTTCACATCTGGCGTGGGTGTCTCGGTCTGCGGGCCCGGAGAGGGCAGCATCCGCAGCCGTTGCAACAACTTTTGCTGAAGCTCAACTCCAACCACCATGACAGCTACTCTTGCCTCTGTTGTTGAGTCAAAAGTGCTGAGCATGGCGATGTCTTTGCCAACATGCCACCCACCGCTGAAGTGTGACAAACACAATTCTTTGCTCTGCAATGCTAGGGCAGTCGTAGAGCCGAAAAAGTCCCCAAACCCTCAACCAATTGATTCTCAAGCCTTCGAATCTTAGACCCTGCGTTTGAAAGACAACATTCCCAAAGTTTTGCCTTAAGCCGTTTAAGGTTCAGGAACTCTACATCTCTGTATTTCCATCACTTACTGTCACGCCGCAGTAGCGTGGTCCTTTTCACTCCAGTTCCCTACGGAGTTCTTACAACAAATATTGACTTGCTTCCCACAGGCTTCAGTAGATACTGAAAATCCATGGCGTGAAAGGCCTTACAAACCTACCAAACCCTCCGCCCGAAACCCCAAGGCCCAAACCACACCTGGGGTGCAGGCCGCTCGAACCGCCGTTTCAAAGGCATCCTCGGCACACGCTGAACAGTGCATCGTGCGTGTTCAAGTTTATAGGCCTCAGGGTTTAAGGTTTAAGGTTTGACGCTGCGGAAAGCCTAAACCCTAAACCCTAATCTTTAAAACCCAAGCCCAAGACGAACAGGCACAAAACACCTACACGGGGTGTACTTCACATGCGACTCAGCAACATCCGCGAGATCGGAGTCGGTGGCGTTGCCTGGGATGCTGGGACGAGGGAAAGACCATAACACTGTTTTGGCATTTGCAGGGCAATTTGCGCCCGAACCCTCGTTTCGGGCCCAGAAGAGTTTTCACCCCAATCCTCACAGCACTTCTTGGGCCCCTGTGAGCCCCCAGCGAGCCTGCGCGCAGATTCTTCCGCATGTTGGCGTTTCCCGCAACGCGGAAGAAGTTGCACCCTAACCCACAGCCCCCTTGAGCCCCCTCTCGGGACCCCTATTCCCGACATCGAACCCTTGCACACCCACCCGTCAAACCTCACAGCCCCCAATGAGCCCCCCAAGCACCCCGTGTGCAGGTTCTTCCGCGCTTTGTTACGAGGGAACGAACCAAAACCTGCAATTCGAAGCCTCTCGGGGTTTAGGGCAAGCACGTATAACTTATTCACAAGTACACATGTGCAAAGCCTCCTCGCCCTATGACCCTCTGAACCCACGGTTACATAAGAATAGCGAGCATCGGCAACACGGAACCAGTGACTAAAAGAATCTACTGGAGACGACGAAATAAACCAGTATAGGTACTCAGAAGCCTCACACATGAAGTCACACTTGCGTAGTAAATGAATGCGAACCGTCGGAACCGCCAACCGGAACCGCAAGAACCGGAAACGCAAGAACCGAACCGCACAATGATTTAGGTTCGGTTCGCGGAAACGAACCGCGGCCATACTGATCATAGTATTATCGCATTATCGTCTTATAATATTGTACAACGTATGTCATCCCTTAAACCCGACCCGCCCCGCCGGGGTCCCTGCGCCAGCGCTCGAGCACCTGACTTCCGAGCAGCCACACAAACTGCGAATCTGAGCAACAGAAGAGGCCAATGCAAGAAACAACGAGATCTATCAATGCTACAACTCTAGATGGAAGGAAGCAGCTCACTGCCCGAGCACTGTGGGCAATCGGGGCGCTCAGCAGGACAATGAGCCCCCAGAGGGTCGCCGCATTAAAGCTCTATTCTGATCACACATCACTCAGTATGATTGCAACCAGTGCTGTGATGCTGATGCTGGTTCAATGGATAGCTTGATGCCTATCTTGCCCACACTGTTCTCCCTCGTTTTCATGTTGATTCAGGTGTCACGACCTGCATCAATTGTAAACGGCATGACGGCTCTGCTGTTGAGTCTGTTCCTACCATGCTTGGTCTAGCTCTTCCTCAGTTACAGTGAAGAGTGAAGTACACACCTGCCGCCTAGTAAATATGCTTCAGGAACAGCAAAGACAACTGATGTTAGTCAGGAAAAAGTCGGAGAATGAAAGAAGACCAGTAACTAGGATAAGCAGCGGACTGACAATGACGAGGGGACCTCCCCCTGCTCTCCGAACCCTCAAATTCATCAGTGAGCTTTGGTTGCCTGCTTCACCAGATCGAAGAGAGATGCCTCTCGGACCTTGAGCGGAACACCGAAAAAAAAATAGCAAAGCAAGCAGGAGTCTGATCGGCATGGTGCTAGCGGTGGAGTACTACTCGCAGATGGTTTCTGGTAAGGGAGGAAAGGATGATAATCTCTATGCGGACGAAGCGCCTTCTTCAGTTTCGACTGCTCCGAATCACCATGCGCCGGTGCTGGGCGCTTGTCCCGCGAGCGGCGCGGTTCCTGCCGCAACTGGCAGTCGATTGCTGGGCTAGGAGTTTCGGTGTTTCGGTGAGTACGGCTAACTTTCATTGTGACAGGATTCTACTGGAGCGCAGTGACAAGCAACAGCGTGTACAATCCATAGCTAAGATGCTGGAGCTCTTCTCGTCTCGGAGCCTCATAAAGGGCTGCCAACGTCGAACCCTGGGCACCCGAAATTTGTCAGAGTCTCTCGGAGTCCTTCCGGTCCCTGCGATTGCTGCGCGAGCGTCCTTGATTCAAGTCGTGTTTGCAGACCGCGCGTCACTGGTAGGCTTGGAGCAGATGCACTTACGTCAGATATGTTGCGAATCCGCAAAGCTGCGCATGACCTATCTTAGACCTTCTGATGAAGTAATTACCATCCATCCACTCGACCTAGGATTGCTCGATTCGCACAGTCTCTTCCAGGTGCATGTCGGAGCCTCTGTATGTCCAACCCGACTCGTTGTAGTACAGGATTTGCAGATGCAGGGCTTGTACACTAGCTGTACGACTACTACTACTACTACTA